TATGTTTTTAAAAATACCATGTACGTGTGAACAAGGCCTATGTCAAGCGAGGTTTTCTTATTGAAACCAAGATTACTTCCTGAGCACATGCACATAAAAGTGTGACGTGTTGAACGATCAGCCAACCACATAAGCATGGATCGCAACAGGGTTACAATGCAGCGGAACAGAAAATTATTAAGGTACAATATGAAGAATTCAAAAGAACAGTGATGGCAAAGAGCAACACCGTAGCTACGTCAAAGCTAGACAGGCATTCTGCAGCAGATCACTGACAGTGATAATGCATGCATACAGTTTGACTGTTGTTAAGATAATTGTCTTAAGCCTAGTTCATACTTTATGCTTTCTGCATACGCTTTCATGCGCTTCCATTCAGAAGACGATCGTTCGTGTGACTGGTTGTGTTCATACTGTGGATGCAGATGGTTGCAGTCGGCACATGCCTACTGCAACGATATATCTCCAGATCAGCAGAAACCAGATGGTGTCACCTAGTTTGAATGAAGCATACGCAAAAGCAGGATAAGACACAGCTTATAACCGGAAGTTTCCAGTCTTCTCGGGTTTTTAAAACAAAAACATAACTTTTTGTAAAACTAGTTAACTGGTGTTGGCTTTGTCTCACAAACAATTTGGACAATAAATATGTTTAATATTTACCTCTGCCAGATCACGTTTCTCATTGAAATTACTATTCAATTCTTGTGATAAAATATTGGAAGTATAGATAGTATGGATGGGCCTCTATGAATACACCCGCATGCCATTTGGGCTATGTAATGCTCCAAGTACTTTTCAGAGAACAATGGAGCTTGTACTGCATGGGCTACAATGGGAGACACTCCTGATATACCTAGATGACAAAATGGTTCTAGGAAGAGGGATTGACAAAAGCCTTACTCACCTGGAAGATGTCCTATAATGTCTGAGTATCTTCAGATGGATATTAAAACTATCTAAATGCCATCTTCTCAAAGAACAAGTCCTTTATCTTGGGCACATTGTTAGCAGTGCAGGAATCAGCCCAAATCCAGCCCTCATCAGTGACAGAACTGGCAATCCCCAAGCTCCAAACAGGAGCTCTAGACCTTTCTTAGACTGTGTAATTACTATCACAAATTTGTGCCAGCTTTTGCAGAACTGACTAACCCCCTGGTTACCCTACTGAAAAAAAGGAGTTGCATTTTGTGGGTGAAAGACCAGCAACATGCCTTTTCCCATCTCAAGGATAAACTTGTTTGTGCCCCAGTCCTTGCATATCCATCACTTAAAGGTCAATACATCCTGGACATGGATGCCTCGAATCACAGCATTGGAGCTGTATTATCCCAACTTCAATGGGGGGAGGAAAGAGTGATCACATATGCTAGCAGCCACCTCACACCAACCCAGAAGACGTACTGTGTTACAAGACGCGAGTCCTTAGCCATTGTGCAGTACACTCAGCAGTTCCGTCACTATCTTCTAGGCTAAAGGTTTCTTCTACACACAGACCACCGCAACAGTCTCACTTTGTTGTTTTGATTCAAACACCCTGAAGGACACCTAAGCCAGTATGAATTTGAAATCAAGCACAGGCCAGGGAAATGATACTAATGCACTGTTAAGTTAGGATGAAGAAAACTGGGACAAATGCAATTGCTACCAGCAGGGAAAGAATTGACAGACTTGCCATGTTGAGGCTGTAGCTATTGCAGTAGGTTCCATGAGCAGTGGGAAAGATTAGAAGATGTTGATGATGTTGTACCCCTGGCAGTAAGGTATATCAAAATGGGAGAAGGTGCATGTAGCACACATGGGCAGGGATAAGCAGAGGACCAGCCAGAACATTCATAAGAGATCCCATCTGTAATCTGGCTAGAGCCATTCAGCAGTGGACAGTTAATACAGGAGCAGAAATCTGATCCTGTCTTGTCAATTCTACACAGGTGGATAGAAGCTGGGTCCCTTCCCACTAAAGAACAGGTGGCATTGGAGAGCCCAGTTGTAAGACTACATTGGCTGTGTTGGCCCTAAATAGAATTACATGCAAGAGTGTTATACTACCACTGTACTACAAAGCGGGATTACTGGCTTATTGGGGTAAATTGTTGGATTTAAGGTAGCCTGAGCAAAATTTAAGTGAATGAATATGAAGTCCATTTAAACTCTGGTACCTTAAATCTGACAAGTTACCCTGATAAGCCAGTAACCCCGCTTCGTAGTATTGGCCACTGGAGGTTTCGGCTCCTTGATCTGGGACAGGGAAGGCCTCCACCCATCGAGTAAACTGGTCAGTGATGACAGGGATGTACCTGTTCCCAGAACTTGACAGTGGAAAAGGCCCCATGATGTCCAAGTGAAGTCGATCTAGATGTGCACCTGCAAAAACTAGTGTATGACTTTGTGGCCCATTTTGGTGCCCCATTAGAGCTTCATACCAATCAAGGGCAAAATATTGAAACCGCCCTCTTCAAGAATGTGTGCCAGCTCTTGCATGTCTCAAAAACATGAATGACCCCCAACCATCCTGCATCCAATGGTCAGGTTGAACGGTTCAACCATACACTGCTTCAGATTAGAAACTATGTGGACAAGAGTCAGACAAACTGGGATGAACATTTACCTCTTCTGACGGCAGTCTACTGGAGCTTTCCAAACATGCAGCAACTGGGTACACACCCAACAAGTTAATGCTTGACAGAGAGGCACATCAACCACATGATATATAGACTGGTGTTGTTGAACTACAATCTAACCGCAAGGAAGTTTCAGAGTTTCTCCATGATCTGGAGGATGGAATGAGGGAGGCCCACAACACTGCTAGGGAGCACCTATGAGCAACTCAGCACAGGCAAAAGAAGCTGTAAGATGTGAGGGCCCAGGAGAGGACTTTCAATATAGGAGACCTTGTCTATGTAAGGGATACCAACAAGCAGGTGGGGCAGAGTCCAAAGTTACAGTCACTCTGGAAAGGACCATGCGTAGTCTCTGCATGCTTTGTTCCAGTACTGTATGGAGTCCAGAGATGCAACAGAGAAGGATTTCGCTTCATGATCACCTCAAGCCATACGAGAGTGAGTTAATACTGGCATTGATCAGACATAAAAGAAACCAGGTCCTACAACACTGTACATCTTCTTCAAAACAGCTTGGGACTCATCAACAAGTGGAACACTCACAGGCCAGCAGTGACACGGTAGTTGGACAGAGGCAGTGGAGTCAAGCTGAAATGCAAGTAAAGAATTTGAAGAATGTGAAACATGGACAGACAGGGAACAGAGGACATACATCTGGGATTGATGAAAACGAGGACAGTACTACAAGAGTGAGAGATGCAACACTGAGAACACGAAGAGGGTGGGAAGTTCACAAACCTGCAAGATACAACAGTTAGTAGTCAGAAATATGCACTGTGTATGGTTAAATTACTTCTAGAGTTTGAGAAAGACTTTATGAACCTTTAAATGTCATTGTTAGCAAATCTTTGACTGTTATTTTGTTAAATGTTTTGCTAGTTGTACGGTAGTCCTGTGGGGAGTAGTGTAGTGTGGATGGGTTTGAGTTTGACTTTGCTTCCTCTTGTAAACCCTTTTCCCCTCCTATATTCTATACGTGTTCATTAGTTGAGCCAGTTCCACCCTTGTATAATGGATTTTGTTTTGTCTTGCACGGGTTTTTTTTCGGTTGCTCGTAAGCTCACCGCATGGACGCCTGTTTGTCATCTGTACCCAAGTGAGAGCACCGTATTACCAAGCACAAAGTATTAGTTGTCATTGTAGTTCTGCTCTTCTCGTGAGTGATGATTGCTCTGCCTTCCTGTATTATTTTGAAGAACCGCAGTAAACATAGTACCAGATTCCAGAATCTTGTCGTGTTATTTATTACACTGATGCATGTGAACCCAATAATCGATGAATGTGACAGTATGATTTTTGGGTAGAAATCATTAATAACCAAGTCTTAAGTGGAACATACGGAGCCCCTAACAGGTCAGGGTGGCAAATTATTTTTGGAAATAGTTTTGCGATCTCACTACATTTGCCTACTTGTAATTTGCTGCAATGTGATAGCAAGGATAAATCTAAGTGATACACAGTACAGTAATTATTAGTAACGGAAAACTATTGCGAAGGAACGTAAACCTATATAAAAAAAATATTTTAAAAAATTTCTCACCCTTCCGTAGTAATATATCATTAATCGTGAATAAATATAGATGTGAAGAGGTTTCCAGAGCTATTTATATTTATTGTTTTGAGCTGAACAATTTGAAAGGACAAAGTTTACATACATATGCCACCTACTGGATACACCTAGTCAATTATCTTGCACATGCGCAGTCGACCCGCAAGGTTTCCGCTAGACGTAATAAAAATGCGACCGCAGCCATCCGTTGATGATGAAATTTACGTCACGTCCCCGCGTCCGCAACTGAAAGCGCACGCAGAAAAGCGAATAGGCCTGTAATTCCCAACCATGTCCTTTGTGGTTTTCGTAATCATTCTTCGTCTTTCATGTATATTCAAACCCCATTTAAAATATTCAGTATTAAGTAAACTTGTTAGCGTTCAAAAACCAGTTAATTTTACTTAATCCATCACACACATACGCACGCACAGACACACATAGCGTTAGTATGTGGCCCGGAAATGCGACCAAAGTGCTGACATATTTTGAGAGAGAGATCCGTATTCATTAACAATTATGGGTGGAAAGGGTAGAATAAATTGACTATATACCATAAAACTAATTGAGATTAACATGTTCAGTAACAGTGCTCACCACCTGATTTTCAGATTATGTATTTCTTAATCACTTTATTAGTATTAGTGTCCATCCACCACCGGCGTCTAACAGCGACAGTTATTGAATGTTAAATGAGCATGTGAACATTCAAATATTAATTGCAATTCGCTCGTAAAGTATTTTTTACCTGCAATTTCAAAGCATAATTACGCACTACATTTCCCATGATGCAGTTCCTCTAAAAGACATGCGCAGAAATTTTCACTAACCATATAAATCGCAGTCGCTTGCGCTCACACTTTCTTTTCTCTTCATCGGCCGTAGTATGCTGGTTTGAGCATGGTGAGCATGTTTTTATTATTATTATTAAAATAAACATATTCCGTTTTAGTTACCTAAAGTCTAGTACGCTATTTCCCTTATTTAGATGTTAAAAGGATTTAGTTTTAACTTAGAAATGTGAAAATGGATATCGTAGCTTTTTGCCTCAAACAAGGAGGCATCTGACCACGTGTTGGATTCATGTGCCAATCCTGAGGACCATGCACTAGCACCAATGATCGAACCAGCCTTTCGGCCTTTTGGCGTTTGTGTCATTAAGCAACACCTATTAATTATCTGGTCTTTCATAGTAGAGGGAGTTTTACTGGTCTCAGAAGGAACTTACTGCAGTAGCGATGCCTTGGTACTGGGATTAATTTACCGTGCATTTCAAGGAAAGTTTTTCTCTCGTTTTAGGGTAGTTCTTTCGTCTGTGCGTTGTACTACTCGAACTTGAATACTGTTTTATTCCTTCCCTACATGTTATTTTCTACATGCAAATCATATGGATACCTATGTAAATGTAACGTGATTTCTTTGTGCTAGGAGTACTTGGATTGGCGTTATTAAAAGTACATCATGGACCAGAAGAGCTGAAGATTTCTTGAATTTTTAAAGTGAGTCTGCTATATTGTTCGTAATACTGATATTTATTGCTACCTATGATGACTGAATTTTTTTCCCCGGCAGATCGTCCATGGTGACTTCTTATGAATTAAGCCAATTTTGTCTGATAAGATGGCAAAACTTGAACAATAACTGTTACCACATCTTGTCTCTCTGTCTAAGACTGCTGTGCTATTTTACAGAAATGACAGGTGGATGACACATTGGAGATTTTGGCATTAAGTCTGACAGATTACTACAAGAGTGCAATGGCTTTGCAGGTAAATGTAATCCCAAATGGAAGAAATGAGAACCATGTTACTAACTGGTGTTGATGATGACTGATTTTTTTTCCCCGGCAGATCGACCCTGTTGACTGCCTGTTTTTTTTAAGCCAAACTTCTCTGATTCACCAGCTTAAATTACAAATGGTGTCTCTTAGTAGATTGCAGAAATGAGTAATATGTCCTTCTACAGGGGTGATGCATAGCTTGGCCAAAGCAGATGGGTGACCCATGAACGCCGAGAGTTAAGTAAGTATGGAAAGCGTGTTTGCAAAACTTGCTGGTGGGTAGGAATTCTAAATGAATGTAGACTGCAGACTTCAAAAGCGTCTAGAATGCATCGAATTCAAAGCTGTCTGTTGGAAAAGCTGGATATTGGAAAATTTGATATCATGTTTAATTTTTTTAAATGATAAATATTGTGGACCTTCAGTGTGATGGTTGACTTATTTAATTTAAGTTGTCTTTCCATTGTATGGAGGAAGGCTTAATACTCAGCTGTTGTATAAACCCACCAGTCTGGCAGGCATTAGAGACTGCAGTATTCTGTATAAGTTTTCCAGTTCCCCTACTTCTTTTGGTGTTGATGATGACTGACTTTTTTCCCCAGCAGATCGACCCTGTTGACTGCCAGTATTTTTAAGCCATATCTGTCTGATTCACCAAAAGTGGAATTGAATGCACTTCTCCTTTTTATTTCTTGAAAGACTAATACACATTATGTTATAGGGAGCTGTTATGCTGATCTAAAGAGAATGGAGTGCTGAGATCACACGTGAGTGCTGAACTGTGTGTTTGGGGGTCTGGGGGTAGGCTGGGTATGGGGGTTAGTAACTTCTTACTCTAAGCCCTTGCTGAACATGGGACTTAATAAAAGTTTACTGTAGGACAAAAATCTATAGCAAATGCAAGGTTTTCACCTACCATAGAAAGGCTTAGTCACGGGAACCAAGCTGCTACCTTGGTGCCAACGTTCTGAGACCATGATAATGCTTGTTTTTCTGCAGTGCTGGGGATGCCATTCTCCCAGACAAGATGCATGCAGCATTTCGCAAAGCACCTCAGCCTCCCAGACCTATTCAAGGACGTCAAGGTAAAGCGCCCTCCCATTTAAATGTATCCAGTAATATCTTGAAGTGTTCATTACCATTTTTGTTTGAGACAACTAGTCAACTGTTCCAGTGTTTAGGGTAACGCGATGTAAACATAGGGCAAAATATAAAGGGGGGGGGGTGCAGCCTCTGCTGTTTTTAGTCATTGAGCTATACCTGATAACCCCCCCCCCCCACCAAGGTACATAGCTAATACACAGCCATCTATATTAGAATCACATATGACATGCAGTATTTGTAATGTTCAAATGTTTAATAAAGGAGTTTATTTTGAAGTACATGGCATTTGTGTGTGTTTCGAATCATGGAATTTCTCTGGTATTGATATCCCTAACAGTAACGACTAGGGAAGGCAAGATAACTTGTCAAATCATTGTGTGCTTTGCGTTTTCCTATATTCAAGCCCCTCCCCCAGTTGTGCATCTTGTATGCCTGCCTCCTGGTGTTCTGGTGGCACAGGCAGAGGGGCAAGCATGGTCAGGGTCGGACATGAAGGTCTCTCTTGGATCAATGTCCGCCAGGTTACGGTGTTGGGCACGAGTGAAGCAGGAAACAGTCGGATGATCATTTGCAATGTTCTGTATGGATTTTTGGTTCTGATATGGCTTATACAGAGCGGCTACTTTACCTGCGACGCACATTGCCGTTGCCTAAAATGAACGTGACTCCACGAACGGGAAGTTTCAATCAAACTGCAACTTGCACACAACTGGAAGTTACAGGTTCTTAAATATACATGATGGAAGGGAACCATGGCAACGTGTAAATTAATCCCAGTACCAAGGCATCGCTACTGCAGTAAGTTCCTTCTGAGACCAGTAAAACTCCCTCTACTATGAAAGACCAGATAATTAATAGGTGTTGCTTAATGACACAAACGCCAAAAGGCCGAAAGGCTGGTTCGATCATTGGTGCTAGTGCATGGTCCTCAGGATTGGCAACAACATGGGCTCTTTTTTTTCATGTCTCACAAGCAGGGCACTGTGATATGATGTGACGTGATATGATGTGACCCAGCTCATGGCAGTAAAAACATTCTCTGGATTCAGGGGACAAAGTGGGCGGTGAGATTCAGGCATAGCTGCACAGGCTTAAGTCTTTTTAGGGAGCAAACATGGATCTGTGAGTCAATGAGCTCATTGGCCAGTGTGGTGGCCTCCGTGAGTGAGATCCTTCTGCTAATTCAAATAACCATCCAGTCCAGCAGGCAGTTTTTAAACACCTCCAATAGTATTGGCTCCTTGAGCTGATCAAATTCAGAGAGACCATTTGTGGCACAGTACTTGTGAGAGGACTAACAGTTTTCTCAAGTGAATTCTGAATGAGTCTGAAAAGTGGACTTACGAAGTTTGCGAAAGGCACCAGTTCATATGCCCTTAACACAGCGGCTTTCACAACATCATAGTCCATGCTCAGGTCAAGGGACAAGGTGGAGCCGATGGCAGCACAGAGATCTGCGCTCTGGTGAGCCATCATCGGTTTCCACCGCCACAGGCATCAGGGATGACCCAGATGCATTGTGGGAACCCCCCGGTTCGGGCAGGACCCCCCAGGCAGAATTTGACTGGAATATCAAACTCCTAATGAATCAATAGCGTGTCTGTGGGGAGTGATACCTCATATGTTACCAATCATATGATTCTCTGAGAATGATACAAGCCTTCAATCAGGGCTATATCTGAAACTGGCCTTCCTATTTGATACATAGTTGGGATGGCAAAAGCCAATGCTTCAATCACCAGGAAACGCTGTAGTGTTTTTGTGGCCTGTTAGCTCTTGAATGATCTTCCTCAGTGTGGCCTTGTCTGAGTGGGGAAAAGGGGAAACATTTTGGAGATACCAAAATCACTCTACTAAAAGGCTACCAGCTAACACTGTCTGCCTCAGCAGCTATTAACTGCCATGGTGCCACATGGCTGTAGAACTAACATCATGCAGTGCATTCAGAAAGTATTCAGACTTTTTTCCACATTTTATGTTGCAGCCTTATGCTGTGATCATTTACCTAGATTTTTACCTAAGCAATGTACCTTCAATGCAACAAAATGACAATGTGAAAACCAGAAATTTAGATTGTTTTGCAAACTTATTAAAGTAAAAACTGAACCAAGTATTCCGACCCTTTCCCATCACATATTACATTTATCTCTGGTACATCCAGGTTTGGCGTCATTTGCCTCAATTCTAAGCATCATGTCCGATCACCTGTGCAGCTCCATCCCACCGACGAAGCATGTTGAAGACCTACGAGGAGTTTCTCAAACTATACACTCTAATATATATAGATGGATGGATGATGGACACTTTATTTATCCAGAAGGAAATTTAGGTGTCCAGTAGCTTATACACAGTATACATGCACATAAGCACACATATATACTGCAAAAAATACAAAGGAAAATATCAATTGTGTGCCATTCCAGTGAGGAAAAATAACAAAATAAACAAAAGAAAAATGTATCCTCTTGCTCAGTTGTGCACCATGCCCTCCTTCTCCTCTTTCTGTTGAGGTTAGAGCTGGCCTGCGCTGCTCTGTGAAGGGAGTGATATACAGCATTGTACAAGATCTTCAGTTTCCTGGCAATTTCTTGCATACAGTGAATAGCCTTCATTTCTCAGAACAAGAACAGACTGATGAGTTTCAGAAGAAAGTTCTTTGTTTCTGACCATTTTGAACGGCAATGAGAAATGCTGTTTTGCAGTGCAGAAGTGACATTATGGTGTGGTGATTACACTAGCTGTTGTACAATTGTTAATTGTCATTTGAGATTTAAAAAAGAATAATATAGTGGTCTCAATTTTTCCCCCAGCTGTATGCCAATGTGACGTTTGCGTTTTATTTTTAATAAATTTGAAAAAATGTCTAAAATCCTGTTTTTGCTTCGTCATTATTGACTGCTTCATCCGTACATGACTCTCCGGTGCTTTTTGCCTTTATTTCTCAGATCTATTGAATTTCTTAGCATGGTGATAGAAATGGACAGACATGCACAGGGAAATCTCCATCCCATGGACAGTCTGTCCGGGTGGCTTTGCCATAGCAGGGGTGGGATTTCCCTTCCCAGAAAGGATGCAATATATTGAGGCCAAGCCCAGTTTGATAACAGGATGCAAAGTAAATCTATTTTAGTGTTTGTTCTACTAAATGTATTTTTCCCTATAATACCTTACTGTGCAGTATTTGTGGAGGAACAAAAAGACTCATTTGCATCTTGAATAAACTGAGACACTTTGTATGTTTGTACTATGTTCATTCTACGTCCAGTTTATGTATGCTTATTCATACTGGCTAGAGCCGCATCTTCTCCATAAGTTGAACTGGGAAGGAGAATAGTGCCTATTTGAGTAGGTTGCAGTAATCAATTTAAGGATAAAGGCCTTAGACTGTTCACCAGTGAAGTTTAATTAAATGACACATTTAGATCCAGCCATTTTCCAAACTTTATGGAGGTTCCTACATGTTCTCCCATTTCTCCTGGGTCCTCCATGTCCCCCCCAGCACAGACTGGCACTCTGGCTGCCCACCCACAATTCCTGGCCAGTGTGCAGCCTTGACTTCAGAATTTGAATTGGGCTGAACCAGTCATCAGGGAGGTGTGCCTGCAAGTCATTAAGACAGAACAAGACGAGCAGGGTGTGTGTTTGCATTTGTGCCTGTAGCTGATATACTGGAGGTAGCGGGTGGTATGAAGGCTGAGATGACCTTGCTGGTGATCATGGAAGCAAGAGCACAAACAACATGGCGAAACGTAGTCTAGAACGTAAATTTAATGTCAAAATGTTCGTACCAGTCAAACAACGAAACATTCCCACAAAAGAAAATATACAAACAAGACATAACTCAGGTTACAAACATTCATTAAAATGACTGCTCTTGAGCATTTGCTCCCTCGAGGGTGAACACGCATGTAGCTTATTAAACGTTCTGTGGGTTCTGTGCCTGTCGAATGTTCAGTGTGTCTCTCAGCATCAGGTCTCGGAGTCGCCAGAGAGCGTCGGCCATGGTGGTGTGGGCACCCTTGCTCTTCAGCCAATGGGATGGCAGTCGGCTCTCCTGCTCTTTGGTCAGACGGACGTCCTTCCTGCGTGCTAGAGAGACATCCAGAAACGGCAGGCGGATTATCAACAGCCTTGGAAAGAAGCCATTCCAAAGATGATGATAGTTTTCAAAATTCAACTGTACAAAATAGCTAAAAAGCATACAGAAAAAATGAAGACAGACCTAAGTAATAGTGTTTGTAACTTCTCCCATATGCTGCACAAAACAACTCTGATTCCTTGGTAATGCAAAATAAATAAATAGTGCAACTGGCTATATAACTGGTTTAATACCAGAAGGTCTCACCTGACAGAGCCTGGTCCCACCTGCTGACAGAGGGTGACTCTGCATGGAGACCCTCAATATACTTCAGGTAGGCGTCGGAATGCAGGAGGCACTGGGACCTGGGAGGTGGACTCACAAACATGGGCGTGGACGGCTGCAGCAGGGCAGGCTGACACATCTGGCCCTGTGTCGGATAAGGGGGAGGGGCCTGCTGACCTTGCCCAAGGACGCTCATCTGGGAAGATAAGCACAGATATCACAATTGTTCTTTATGCACTTCTCCAAGTGTTAGCAACTTATAAACACCTTTGTATAATGTATAATGGTCTGCCTAACATACAGGACATATGAGTAGATACCTTAAGAAAGCCAGATCCATCCATAAGGACCCTGGCCATCCCAACCACAAACTGTTTTCATTGCTGCCTTCAGGGAAACCGTATCAGAGCATTGGCTCACGGACAAACCGTCACAGCGTCTCCTCTCAGGCACTAAGGCTATGCAGTAGCTGATCAGGCAATTAGTATCAACACTGCACATTTTTCACATTTCTCGTTTTTTTTTTTTAAACTTTATATTTTATTCTTCCTTAACCTTATTTAATACTTATTTCATTGCCTGTATTTACTGCTGTACGGTGTACTGTTGCATTTGATTAATAAACTTAAATTTGCCTTCATAACTGCCTTAATTCTATGTGACATAGATGATTGAAACATTCCTTGGAGAAGCTGCACCATGTTGACATGACAGCAGCACACAGTTGCTGCAGATCTGTCGGCTGCACTTCCTGATGCAAATTCCCATTCCACTACATCCCATAGGCTGAGATCTGGTGACTGCACAGGCCATTTGAGTACAGTGAACCCACTGTCGTTCAAGAATCCAGTCCGAGATGGACTGAGCATTGTGACATGGTGCGTTATCCTGCTTGAAGCAGCCATTAGAATCTGGGTACACTGTGGTCAGAAAGGGATGGACCTAGTCTGCAGCAGTACTCAGGTAGGCTGTGGCATATAAACGATCCTCAACTCGTACTAAGGGGCCCTAAGTGTACTAAGAAAATATCCCACACACCACTACACCACCAGCAGCCTGAATTGTTGATAGAAGGCAGGTTGGATACATATTATTTATGCCAAATTCTGACCCTACCATCTCAGCTAAAAATAAGACTCATTTGAACTGGCAACGTTTTTCCAATCTTGTATTGTCCAATTTTGGTGAGCCTGTGCCCACTGTAGCCTCAGTTTCTTGTTCTTAGCTGACAGGAGTGATACCTGGTGTGGTCTTATGCTGCTATAGCCCATCTCTTTCAAGGTTTTATGTATTGTGCATTCAGACATTCTCTTCTGCATACCTTGGTTGTAACAAATGGTTATTTGAATCATTGTTGCCTTTCTATCAGCTTGAACCAGTCTGGCCATTCTTTTCTGTCCTCTGCCTTCAATATGGGTCTACTAACACTAGGCAATCCATACCATAAGTGAACATGTTTGACCCCTGAAGTCTAGTTTGCTTGACTAGTGTAATCACTCTATACCTGCTTGAACGGGCTGAGCCGGGGCACGGTTCAGTTGGACTTGGGCATGGTACGCATGTAGCCCAAGCACAGACCACAGACATGATGCCAAATGATGCGACTGGCACACACATGCGCATATGCAGACTACAGATGACCTGGACCCAGAAGGAATGGATCGAGAAGGCTGTACAGGTCAGGTAGGGAGAAATATTTAACAAACGTGGCAAAAAAGTGATCGCTTTGGTCTATGGCAGAGGTGCAGTGTTTGCTGGAAATTTGGATTGGTGAGAGTATCCAGGAACTGGATGCAACATACAAGAAGTCAGAGATATTTGGTAAAATGCGGGACTCTCTCGTTATATATATGCAGGATGATTAAATGAAAATCAGTGCGTTGCATACTCAATAAATGTATGAGTGTCGTGTGCCATCGTAGCCATTAATCATGAATTTCATTCAGCTGCATGATAGCACTTTTATTCCTATGTTTTCTTAAACACAAAAGATGACGAAAGCATGCTCAGGCCCAGAATGTTACATGCAACGTGAGTGCAGACCAGCGAGGAAGTGGTGAAGGGGCAATCGTACTTGGGCACGGTACAGGACAACCGGCCCATGTGTAAGTTTGCCCCAAGGCATTTCTACCCAGAGAACCACTACTCATTGGATGTTTGATTCTAGTGTTTGATGTAAATATTAACTGGAGCTCCTGGCCTGTAGCTGCATGATTTTATACATTGTCCTGCTGACATATGATTAGCTGATTATATATTTGCTTCAACGAGCAATTGAACAGGTGCACCTAATAAAGTGGCCAGTGAGTGTATTTCACAAGGAAATCATTGAGGCATCCCACAACCCTAAAAGGAAAAACTGAAAATAGATTTTTAAGCTAAAATAATAATAGAAAACACCTAAAGAAAACCTACATAACATCTGACCAAAACTCATTCAGGGCTTGCAGTCATGTGAAAAACTTAGGACACCACATTCAATATTTAGTTCTTTATTAAGAAATATCAACATATCAATATTAAATCTTCTTTCAAATCATATCTGTAGATAAAGGTAATTAAATCACCTATGCAAAAACAAGAAACAAATTCACTTATTTACCAGAAGAAATTAATTATGATGCCAATTTCCACTGAGGAAAAAGTTAGGACACCCTCACATCCATTACCATTTAAAATGCATAGAATTAGATTCTGGAGCACCACATCAGGTGAAAATAATTAGAACATCGTTACAGAGCTTTTTGATGGAGCCTGTCATTTAAACCACAGACATTTAGTTTGGTTTGCTCTCGATTGTTGAGGTGAGTGGTATCACCATGGTGAGATCCAAAGAGCTCTCTGAGGCCTTCAGAAAGAAGACTGTAGATGCATAGGAGTCTGGGAAATTTACAAGAGTAGAACATTTAACACAATTGCCAACATGGCCAGGTCAGGCCATCCTAGCAATTTCAGCCCAAGAGCAGACTGCAAGATGCTTAAAGAAGTCTCCAAAAATCCTAAAATGTCATCACAGGACATACAGGAAGCTCTTGCCAGGGCAAGCTTTTCAGGGCAAGACTGACGTTTACCAGAGACCACCTAGACAAAGACCAGGACTCTTGGAACAATGTGCTTTGGACATATCATTTTGAAATTTAATTATTTGGACACAGTAACAGACAGCATATTTGGTGTAAACCAAAAACAGGTTTTGAGCAAAAGAACCTTATACCAGCTGTGAAGCATGGGGTGTAAATGTCATGGTTTGGGGCTACTTTGCTGCAGCAAGACCTGACCAGCTCACCATCATAGAATCCACTATAACAGCGGTTCCCAAACTAGGGTACGCGTACCCCCTGGGGTACACAAGAGGCTGTAGGGGGTACGCGAGGGAGCGGGGGGAATCACGAATTCGAAC